AGTTTTTCCCTGTTTGAAGCGCTATATTCTTTCGTAGATCTTGCTTCACAATAAACACCTGGCAGCGTACTGCGCTTGCACGTCACGAATAATTTCCTCAGGCTTTACACCTTCCACAAACAAAAAAGTGAATCACTACCCTTCTTTCCTCCTTGGTACAGATAAACGGAGCTGTCTTGTGGAAATATCTGTTAAACTCCAACGACTACGAGGAAAGACGAGTGGCATGTTGAATAGAAATCTTGCCGACCACATCTCATTCAGCGCTAGTATCAAGTGCTGTTACCAAACCTTGCAAAAAGGAATTGCAAAAGTCTCCTTTCTTTTTGACTTTCCGTCGTATATATAGAGTGATTCTCTACCACGTCGACAGAATTACAGGATGTGTAGATGGTACAGAGATGAATCAGAATCACATAGGTTTGTAGGTTCGGTCAAATGACGTAGTTGCGAGTTATGGTGCAAATAAGCATAGAAAAACACAGAAACAGCAGTACATTAAATGGGACAGAAAGCATTTTATTGAAAGGTTATACCACAACAGGTGTTCGAAAGTTCATGGAATTCTTCTAGGGTCACACATAAAGTGCATAGTGTATGAGACGCTCGTTTCTTCTGTTGAAGACCTTATGACTGCAGCTTTGTTGTAGTCGAAGGATACGTAACATGGCAGGAATCTTCCAGAACGTACGGAATTCCATGCATACCTGGCGAGGTATGCATGGATCCACTGTGATACCTGGCGAGTGGTATCATACATTAATTACTAATAATTGATGACTTTTATTATACTGGGGATGTAGTAATCTTGATTGGATTGATGTGCACACATTTTGTGGAACAGTACTCGTTTTTTATTTGCATGTAGCAGACGGCACAACGCAGAACACAAAAAGCAAAAGAAGAATGCATGCCGTTACGTTGCTCTGACAATAAGGGGTGTGAACTTTCCAGAAAAATGAGGCTTATATTCAAAATACCAACTGGAAGTTTGAAAGTTCATATGACTTCCATGAATTGGTTGACAAGTATCGAAAGATTTGCCTCATATAATCACTAATAAAAACGATGACCACTTAATTTTAAAGCGTTAAAGTTAAGATTAAATCCAGTTGGGTAAGTAAACTAACAGTTGATTATTTACTTGGAATTCTGGGGGGGGGGGATTAAGGCTATTACAAATTAAAAAGCCATCAAGATAAAATTAACGTGAATTATTCCTTGCATATGTGTATGTGCTACATATTTTGTGTACCATTATTGATCACATGACGATTTTGAAGGAGTAGAAAATTATATTTTTGTACAAAATAGTAACTGTCATGCTGTCAATGCAATATGTGTATTTAAATGATGTTATAATATGGAAAGAAATTGTTCTGCTCAAACTTTAAATTTTATCACTTGACAGGTTTTTTTTTTTTTTATGATAACAATTCTATGCGGTTAGAATTTCCAATATACATATACAGAGAAGCAATTTAGGAGTAAATCTGATTAGATAATATGTTTTATACTAAGAAACACAAGCAATAAGTGTATAAGAAAATGATAGAAATCTTACACATGAGATGTTTTTTTTTATTTAAATAAATATTATATTTACATATATTGTTTCAAATTGTATTACTCCATCATACATGAATATAGGAAGAGATCTCTCTCACACACACAACAGTTAAGAAATTGATGTTTGAAATATGGCTTTTTTTAGTCACGAACGAAACAGTAGTTACAAGCAAGCTTGATGTGACAAATGATGTGATTTAAAAATTAAGCAATGAAAGCATCTAGACTAAAATGAATAGTGATAAATTGAACAATGACTTACCCTATTTTTAAATATCAGGGGAAAAAAATCATGTAGTAATTTATAATACAAACCTTTACCACTGGTTTATGTTTTAGGCATAAGTATTAAGAGTGAGAATTGAAAACTGTTATAATGAGCGGAATGGGTGTTAAAATTATTTTTTGTCTTACAAACCGGTATTACAAATAGTTAATTTTAGAAGAAAGTTAAGATCAATAAAATTTGTATATTAATTTATTATTAAAAATGTTCATTGTGTCATTTATTAATCCGGCATCACTCGCGCGAAAAAAAACGACCTAAAGTTCTCGCTCAGGGTATCTTATACCCAAGAGTGTTTACATTCTGCTTTTACCGTAACATTTGTATATAAAAGTTAAAAAGGAAGAAAGTAGGAAATACAATATGCTTATTACATTTTTAACATGCAAATTTAGTATTTCTGTTCTTTTTATAAGGGCATTCAGTACATTGTTTATGCACTTCTTTAATCTCGTCGTGAGTGAGTGCGATGCTTTCACTATATCTTATTATTATTTTTTTTAATCTGTATCTTTTAAATCTAAACATATAGGAGCAAACTTCTTTATTCTTTAAATTCAAAAATTTTGGAATTTTTTTTTATTTTCTCCTGTTGTTCCAGCAATAGTTTTTTTTTTTCAAAAGTCCATATGAAAATGGATAAGATGTGTACCAGTTGTCTCCTTTAAAATTACATTCTTCCCAAACATTTTTGTGTCTCTACATATTCTCATTTATTCTCAACAGTGTCTCTCTCTTCTAAATCTTTATCGATTTCAGTGGAGGAAACATATTTGCTGTTATACTCTTCATCATTTGATTTTTCCTCATCATAACCTTGAAGAGGAAGTCTTCATCCGAAAATACTGTTGTACTATATATATATTAAATACTGTATCTAATGATTTACTTAAATATCACATTTCTTCATCATAACTACAATAATAAGCCATATCAAAAGGAAGATTTAAACGTGCTCATGCATTCAGAACTGAGAAACGGTGATTCACATAACGAAGGGTATGACATAAACGAAGAGGCCGTATCCACGAGATATATATTTAGAATTCGTCTACAAGCTAAGGCCGCTCAAAGGATATGACCTTAAGGTCAGCTACACGAGAAACTATCCATTTTCCAAAAAAGGTTTAGAAGGAGCGTTGAAAAAAGTTAGACTGTGGGTATGACATACCCTGTGCGAGAAGTGCCGGGTTAATACACTTGTTATGTTACATTTTTTTTTTTTCGATAAAGTTTGAGTGATAAGAAACAATTACATTTTGCATTCAGCCAATAGGTTTTATTTAAACTATTATCAACATTATTTTATAACAATTTATTTTAATGGTTTATCACAGAGTAATTCTTTTCGAATCAGTAAATGTGTTCTATCTAGAAGAGATTTTTTCTTCTTTATGTCTTCTTATGTTTATTATTATTATTACAATTCGAAAGTATATTTGAAGTATTTTTCAAGTTTTGTTTTATATTTTAAATTAAGTATTTTAAATCGTAAGTGTTGTGAAATATAGAATTTTATATTCGTTCTTTATCTCCTTCAGTAAACCCATAATCATATAGTTATTTTATTAACTTACATAAATCATTAAAGTAGCCTTTTTTATGTAGAAACGTTTTGTTTTTGATACACATCCGGTCCACCTATTTTTTGAAAAAAAAAACTGTTATAGGTTTGTAGAAAAAGCAATAAAAATGATTTTGAAAAGTCGATGAAACTTTTCTCATTACTGTTTCAAAAATAGCCTGCATATCATTAAAGAATTCATTTCACTGTATTTACAGTAGCCATAAAAATGCCAAGTTGGTTTCATACATTCTCAAAATGTAATGAACAAATCCTATATAAAAGGGACGGTGTTTTGATTGCTAATGAAAGAAAATCAATATTATGCTACCACATTGAATTTGATTATTACTTTTTTGAGTATTTTACGCTTAAGCACACATACAAAAAGAAAATGTTAAAAACAGATAATAGTTTTTAGCATTGTTTTTTTAATTGTTTTAGTAATATCTTTAGTTTGGATCATACATTTTTAATCCATTATTCGTTCAGAAAGAATGTAGTTATTTCAATTATGGATTCCCGATATATTTTTAATGACCATTATAATTCATATATTCTTAAAGCTTAGAAGAAAAATACATTTCTCTAACTAAACTCAAAATTTTATTTAAGATAATTTTTTTTTTAAAGATTTCCGTTACATGTGTTTAACTGTAATAATAATAAATTTGTTCATCTGCTTTTCTTATTATACGAATTTTCAAACACACTATATTAGATTTATAAATGTGGGTGAAGTAGTATATATGTTCCTTAACAAGTAACAACTGCAAAATATCTTCGCACACTACATGGCTTCGATAAGTACAGGGTATCCATTCGTAGAGTCTTTTACTGCGAACAAGCTGTGACATAAAGTAGATTAGTAGGTTCGTGACCTTATTGGCGAAGGGAGAATGATGGCGCCATTAAACAGAAGCTGTGAGCTGGATGAATTTCTATTGGTTGGATTAAGAGAAGGTGAAATATGGCACCATTAGAGGTCGTTGCGGTCTTGGATTAACGGATTTGCACTTCAGACTCCGAATGAGGAATGTAGCAAGCCCCGGACCGATAAATCTATTCACATGGCTGTCTTTAATTAAACAAATTTCTCTCTCCAGTTTTATCAAGAAATATTATCAGTCAGATGAATAATATGCATTTTAATTGTGCAGAAACAAAGTTTTGCGTTTATGTTAATGACAGTATGACATGAATTAAATTTTAGCAATAATTAAATTATTTGTGGCTGCAGTTGCTTTTTTGTCATAGTATATTTTTTCCAATAAATGTGTTGAATATTCATAGCTTGCAAAGAGAAAGAAAAATTAATTATATTTAAAAAAAAACAACTACAATTACCAAATATAATGCATTGATTGGCAGATTTTGCTTTTGTGTTGTTGTTTTATCCCGGGAACATGAAATACAATTGAAGAAGAACAGAAAGCATACAATACAACAGAAGAATATACATATTTATTACAGATGATGATCCCAGCATACACCAAGAAGGGGTGCGCTGCTTTCCTTTCGAGACGGGAATCCATTACAGGCAAAAAGAGACCGTCTCCTTTCCCGAAGAAGATATAACCATGTTTTACTCGGGATTCGAACCCGAATCCACTCGGTTACAGGCCGAGAGTCATAGCCACCATACAGTCTGGGTGACTGCTTTTGTGTTAATGTATCATTAAGCCACGTTATTTTTTATTGAGGCTTATTTTTTATATGTAGAGTCCAGAGTTACTTTCATCAGTCATTACACTGCACAGCAATCAACATAGGAGTCAAAAATATTATTTTCAACAATAAGAAAAAATCTTATATGGCTTACAACCTAAAACTTATAAATTAGTTTGTTTACTAATCAAAAGAAAAAAGATGAACAGATTAAAGCTTTTCATGGTACTTCTTCATACAAACATTGGCTTATTACAGAAAAAAAACACTCGACAAATTAGATCACTAAAGGTTTCTAAGGAGAAGAATTTTGACACTAAAATAGATGTACGTGAAAAATTCGGGAAAATCTAGTGTGATTATTTTGCTAGAAAGATCTAGAAGCCTCTACAAGGGTTTATCTAGTCTATATTCCAACAGAGTGGAGAAGCAATAGAAAGCAAAATCCTGGGAGAGAATTTGCGTTTTCATTGGCCTAATATGACATTGTGAGTGGGGATTAGTATTTCTGTGAGTTCGTGTTGTGAGGATTTTATATGTTCTAATACGGATTCTACAAGCATTGTTTCCCGTTAATTCTTATAACTATTGGATAGTTTCAGAATATAAACTACGATTATCTATAAAAGAAAAATCCTGAAAAGAACATTTCTTTTAATTCCGGGGATCTTTTCAGAAATTAAAAAACACCAAATAAAATTTAGTATATTTTGTTGTCAAACAAAACTATTTATCATTTGAGATATTTTTATGACAGAGCGATGAGTAAATTTGGCCCACCCAGAGATTCTGTCTTTGTGATATGTTTCAGTTCTTGAAAAAAATCTATAAAAACTTTCAGTTTATTTTTCTTAAAATTCATTGAAAAATATGTTACATGTTTTGCATAAAAAAATATTAGTAAACGTTTATTGTTTGTACATAGAAAATGTATTTGGGAGAGTTTTTAAGGAAAATCATTTGAAATATGTTTGCATGAGCAAATAAGGTAGCCTACTTAAAACAATATGTGGATAATTTTTAAAAGACGCTTATTTATATTTATATTTAAGTTCTATGCTATTGAAACTACAAGATATAGAGAGTACATCAAATCCATTACAAAAGTATTAAAACATTTTAAAGATATTTTATTCGTTTTTAACTTTTCAGTGCACTTTGTATAAAATTAAGTTAGCTTGATCTATTTTTTTTCTTTTTTTAAACAAAAGGAATACAACTAAAGAAGTAGTTCCTCAATGGTTTGAGATATGAACATTCAACATGCATGTTGGTACTTTGGAGATAAAGTTTTTATGGAATTCAAATTTTCTTCATTCTACTTCAAGTAGTTTTTTATTAAGTAGTGTAAATAATTTCTGGACTGATTGCTTGTGAACAATTTTAATAGCACATGGGGTAGTTGTTTTATATTTTTGGTACGTAATTTACATTTTAAAAAATTGATAAATTGGTGTAGAATTTATAATCAATATTTTTTTATTTATGAAAATATTCAATTTATAATGTATAAATATTTAAATATGATACAATACCGTATCCTTCCTATATCAGCTGATAATTTTTAGGTTTTGAATTTAAAAGAAAAGAGTTCGCCTTTTGGACGAATCCATTAATCTCGGGAGGGGGGGATTATAGTTTTGGAAATATAGTTTGTTAAGGAATTGATTTAGCTCTTAGTAAGTGATTGTGATAATTTTACCTTTTGAGTGGTTTGAATAGAAATTTTATTAATTTTATTCTAAAAGAAAAAAACAGTCCTTCAAAATTATTTTCAGAATTATAATTTTCGAAAATGTTACATTCACTCAGTGAGACGACTGAATACATATGATCACCCTTCGCGGAAAATTTCCTTTAGGTCTTGAAACATTGGTCGGAGATCACGTGGTGTGTATACAACTTTTCCTCCAAATTCATCTTCCTAACAAAGCAAAACAAAAACAAACAAAAAAATGGCGCAGAAAACAATGACTAATCTAGACTGTGCACAAAGTAACAAATAAATAGAAAATGTGTTAGCTTCGGGTAAGGTTAGCAAAAATAAAACAATCGTTGTTGGCTACTGTTGTTTTTTTTACACCAGTTTAATTAGAAAATATTCATTTTTTTTTTATGCACTCGACAGCATTTTTGCTCTCGTTACGACATGTTTGCAAATAAGAATTATTTTTTCTCATTTCCGCTTACATGTGGTTTTCTAATTTCTGGTAAATTTTTGAAGGAAAAAAATGCACTATCGAATGATACACGGATCGAAAATATATAGCACAAAAATTCTGAATCAGTTAAACATGGACAAATTATTCCCTTAATACGCTTTCTTTTATATTATTTATTTCTGCTAAAGTTTATTTTCTGTTTTCTCGTATCATCTTTTTTGACTCATACATTTACAGATGAATGATCAGATTAGGACATATCCAATAACCATGAATTATATATGTATGTAAATTACATTTAATTTGGTCGCATTAATGTTTAAAGCCTGTTCACTGTGATAATTCCACAAAGGTTTGCCCATCTGGATAATGTTGCAAAATCCCACTTACTCAATTCAGTCCACATTCTACTGCTGGCTATCTACTCTCAGCTTCCAATAATTTATCTAGCTCCCTGATTTTAGAATGAGGTTTATGTCGTAAAGAATGTCAGAAATGTATTCCATTTTAAAATACCGAATAAAATACTTGTCCTATTACTAACAAGGGTTCTTTGAGTTTATGGAGATTAAAGACAATTAAAGATTTGAACGTTGTTCAACAACATTTTTGGCAGGACTTTGCGAGTTAAAAATTCATTGGAAATATGTGAATACAATCAATATTCAACGTTTATTTGTAAAAAAAAAACCCCTTTTAAAAAAAGAGATCAATTTAAAAACAGATTTGGGCAGTAATTGTTATGAAAAATCACATTTATTTTAAAATATTTAAAGAAGAAAGAAAGTGCTAAAACTGTAAAATCATTTATTTATTTAATTTAGATGCATTTCATAATCTATCATGACATTGCATTACTTAAAAATTTTATTCAATCTATTTAGGACGATTACCATTTTTGTGTTACCTTTCAGTTTATATTTATAGAAAAATTTACTTTTTTAAACCTAACGAAATTCAGTGATTAGTATGACTTAGTTTTCACAAAAATACAAAAATAGCAATATAAAGAAAGACACTTGAACATGTTCAAAAGTAGAATTATAAATATAATTTTGATGGCTTTTAAAAGGTGGCTATTATAGATGAGAAGAGGAATAATTGTTTATAAGAATCACACTTGTTTTCTTTCATATAAAAGCAAAATTAAAAAAAAAGAAGATTAAGCACTATTTGGAAATAGTTATCACAGTATAAGATTTTTATTAAAGCTTCATTTCATATGCTTTCATGGGAATCGTATACTTTGGAAAATACTAATTTGAAAGCATTTCAATTTAATCATATCTTTCTGAAACAAGAAACATTCTTTAGTAAAGTTTAAGTTAGAAATTTTCAGGAAATATTTTGAAGTTTCTATGAAATAAGAGTTGGTTCGTTAATTGAATTCGTATTTAGTTGGCTGTACTTAAGGAGCTATGTAAAAATTTATTGATTTACTATGAAAAGGGTTACTCAAACATCACGCATGGCATCTTTCAATTAATTCTTCAAACATTAACAATTTTGTCCTACATCAAAATTTAGTCCAAACTTTACGGAATTTTTCAGAAAATTAAACTATATCTATTAAGAAACCACCTAACAGAAAGTAAATATTTCTTCTAAATTAAAGTATTGAGCAGCTACGATTCCCCACTGAAATATTCAAGTAAAGTATTAGATATATTTAATGCACGAGGAAATAATTTGAAATTCTGTAGTTGGTAATAATCATTATTATTTTAAACATACTTTATGAAAGAAAAATTGGCATTGAAATATAATTTTATATGTCTGGCTTATTTTTGTTCTTTATGATTTTTATTTAAACGTTACGCCTAGAGGGTATTGGGTGAAGTTATTTACCGATAAACTATATCAATTAAGTATCTAATTAAAAATTGAAACTTACGAATATACATACGCATATATTTCCATTACATTATTCAAGATTATAATGATCAACTCCATAGAAATTATATTTTCTTTCAAATAATGCTATAAAGTGGGTATGTGACATATCAAATTTCATATAATATATATATATATTCTTTGTTGTTAAAGACTTTTTTACAGCTTTTATTTCCCGGGAGCTCCCAGTTTTTAAATTTACTTTAAATAACTTAAATATTTCTTTGAAAATTATTTCTCTTGATCACATTTAAAGTCCACGTTCTTTCCTGTTTTTACAAACTTTTGTTTAACTTGCAATGTAAAATGTTCGGGTGGAATCTTGCAACTCAATTTTGAACTGATTTCTTCAACCAATTGAGCTGAAATTTTGTATACACATTTAGTTTGGATGACAATGCATGTGTTTTGACCATTTATATTCCGATATCACAATTAGTTAAAAAGATATTAATCAAAGTAATTTGTTCGGGTGGAATCTTGCAACTCAATTTTGAAGCTGGTGTCTTCAACCGATTAAACTGAAATTTTGTATACACGTTTAGTTTGGATGACAATGCATGTTTGGATTATTTATACTCCGATATTGCAATTAGTTAAAAAGATATTAATTAAAAAATTCTTACCCATGTTTAGAAGCTTACATTACCTCTTTCCACGAGCCTTCGTGGTCTAGTGGTTAGAGAAGCTGACTTCAAGTGAATTGCCCCGAAATCTTACAGTTTTTACATTTACTTTAAATCACTTTAATTTTCCTTCGAAAATTATTTTTCTTGATCAAATTCAAATTTGCACGTTCTTTTCTGTTTTTACAAGCTTTTATTTAAATTGCAATGTAAAATGTTTGGGTGGAATCTTGCAACTCAATTTTGAAGCTGATGTCTTCAACTGATTGAGCTGAAATTTCGTATACACGTTTAGTTTGG